TTCTGGTCACATGACACATGGTGGGCTGGGAAATAAGCTTCCATACCTTTGTATGGAAGCTTATGGGAACTATAACTTATGGTACATATATATAGAGATACAGATCTATATATATATAGATCTATATAGATATATCGATGTATCTACCTAGATAGATCGATATATCCATATCGATCTATCTAGGTAGATACATCGATATATCTATAGCTCTATATATAGCTCTATATAGCTCTATATAGATCGATATATCCATATCGATCTATCTAGATAGATACATCGATATATCTATATAGCTCTATATATAGCTCTATATAGCTCTATAAAGCTCGATATATCCATATCGATCTATCTAGATAGATACATCGATATATCTATATAGCTCTATATATAGCTCTATATAGCTCTATATATTGTTATATTGTTCGTGGAGGTGATCTCTGTGCAGCGCACACTCTCGTTTGTCCACAGCCGGCTGCTCAACACTCCAACGCCGCTCACTCCTCGGCGTGCCACGCCCCCTTCCGTTCAGGTCCAATTCAAAGAAACACAGTAGAGCGCCAGCATCCCCGCACCAGAACTCCGTCGGAAGACGTCCTCACTGCCAGTACTCTGCAGGATCGGTTCAATCGGAATGGAACTTTTACTTACAGCGCGCCTGATCCTCTACTGGGCCGTTTTCCAACTTCCGATGTTATATGCCGGATCAGCGGGTTCCGTCTGCCCCTCACAGCGTGTTTGTTTCCGTGGCTGCAGAACCAGTCCTCCTCCTCTTCCCATCCAGGCTCCTTTTATTTGGGCTCTACTCAACCTCTGCCGACACCTGTCCGGGTGGCCAATTAGCGCGCCCCGCCTCGCGAGACAACCACCTTCAGTCCATGGTGCTTGAATTGTCAAAGGGAAAAGAAAAAAGAAAAGCAAAAAACCCAAACAAAATCTAAGCAAAAAAAAAAAAAAAAAATGCAACAATAATTAACAACAAAAGAAAACAATCATTTTCCCCTATTCAACATATTTATATATGTCTGTGTGTAGACATATTTACATTTTGTGAATGCCATTTTTACACTTTCTGTCACTCAAGGTGGAGAAAATGTGAAAAATTGAACACTAAGTGATCATTTCTTCAACCATGAATCCAGAAATACATGTGTTTTGTAACCCACATATATATGTGTGATACTATTGTTAGTAGTATTTTGCATTTTATTTCTGTAGGATTTTGTTTTGTTATTTAATGCAACCAGCAAATCAGTTTCTTGTGATACCAGAAAACGCCAGCAGGTGGCTTGTGAGTTATATTCTGGTTTAGACAGCAGAAAAATTAGAAGGTCGAGGTCGGAGGAGACGGTTGGAGGAAGAAGGCGGAAAAACAAATTACAAATTGAAATTGTAAAAGGCGGATTGAGCATAAACTGGTATGTGAATGGTTCGGTTGGTAATGGAGTTAGGAGATGAGGAAGATATGGATTTTGATGGGTGGACGCCAGTGGGGAGAGGAAGAGGACGTGGAAGAAACAAAATAGATGAAAGAAAAGAAATTGGTGAAAATCAAGGAAGTAAACGAGAACTGGAAGAAAGTAGCTCAGAGGAAGAAAGGATAGTTAGGAGGAAAGTTGTGCGGGAGGAATTTAAAATAATATTAAAACTTAAAAATGAGGAAGGACAAGATAACATTAGCCCCATTGTGGTGTCAAGAGAAATAAAAAAGAAAATTGGAGATGTTGAAATGGTAAAAATGTTGAGAGATGGGAATCTGTTGGTGGTTTGTAAAAACGAAGAACAAAAGAAACAAGGCTCTAAACGTGGAGAATATTCGTAAAAAGAATGTGTTGGAGAAAAGAATCATTGGAGAAAATAAAAAAACTAGAGGAGTGATTTATGGGATCCCTCTAGATGAAGATCTTGATAAGATCAAGAAAAGTGTAGTTGGTGCAAAAGTGAATAACTTAAAGAGATTGTCCAAAACAATAAACGGGGAGAGAGTGGGGAGTCTGTCAATACTCATGGAATTCGAAGAGAAAGAATTACCACTAAACATCAAAATAGGTTATCTCAGTTTTCAGGTCAGGCCTTATATCCCTCCACCGCTTCGTTGCTTTAAATGTCAAAGATATGGACACATAGCAGCAGTTTGCAAAGGAAAGCAGAGATGTCCAAAATGTGGAGAAGATCACAAATTAGAAGAATGTAAAGAAGAAGTACAAGAAAAATGTTGTAATTGTGGAGGGAATCATAGAGTTACATATGGAGGATGTGAAGTCAGGAAGAAAGCAAAAGAAGTCACACAAATTAAAATGACTAAAAATATAAGCTATGCAGAGGCAGTTAAAAATGTGAAAGAACAGAAAATAAGAGAGATTGAAAAAAACGAGGCAAATTCCACTGCAAAGTGAGATACAGTCAGAGGAAAAGGTTGTGATATCAGTAGAAAAACTAATATTACACAGTAAAAAATGCTGGGTTATTTTCATAACCCAACTTCTGGGTAAGAGATGCTGGGTCATATGTTGGGTTACTTTGACCCAATATTGGTTCAAAAGTAGTGACCCAGCGGTTGGGTTGACTTTTTTTTTTGTTTTAATGAACTCCACTTAACTGATTCTGTTAGGTTTCAGGTTCGGTTGACTCAACACTTTACCCAATTGGTTGGGTCAAATACAGTTCATATAAAAATCCATTGCCCTCTTCACAAACCTCCATTTTCAACTGGACTGTGACCTGATCAGACAACACTGGACTTCTCAATTCAAATAAAACATGGTAAGTTACAATATCATGGTATAATATTTTTAAAGTTAATAGGGTTATTGTATTCTTTATATACTACAGATCTTTTAAATTAAATTTATGTAACTTTAATTGAATTATTTGATTTAACCTATCATCTTCGTTGATAGGGTAATGTTTTTGAAATAATTAATTTAATTCAAAGATAATTTATCCAATTTGTTTTAAAAAAACAGGGTGAGGGTGTGGGAGGGAGAGATGGCGCTTTGCCCCCTGGTTTTCGCTGGCCTCGTTCACTAGCGCGCGCAAAAGGTGGTAGCAGCTAGAATGCTAATAACGGATCTATAGCGACAAGGAGGGACTGGAGGCTTGCAGTAGCGGTGTCCGAAGCGATCAGTACAGAGTATACAGGTATTCATAGTAATATATCAGTAATATAACTGTTAAATGCCATTTTCATTAAGCCTTTTATTTCTTACTGAACACACTATGCTATGCTATTATACGGTTAACCTGGGTGAAACCGATTGAGGCAGTGGAGAAGAAAAAAACAGTATGCACCAGCAATGGCAGAGGAGGGGAAGCTAAAGTTGGATATTATGCTTTCTGTCAAATAAAAGTAACTTTTACATATTTCTAGTGAAGATTAACTATGTAACAATAAAATATCTGCTCGATTTATTGAAATATCTCTTAATTTAAAAGTGCTCCAACATGTTTGGAGTCGTCCCCACCGGTGTTCTCAGATCAGCACACTCTGCGATGGCATATGCTTAACACAAACTATTTATCTGTAGAACATCCGTGAGATCCTCAGTGCCTCCTCTGAAGGTAGACCTGTGGTTATCAGTCTAGATGGAAATCAGCATATGTCCATTCGTGAAAGACGAAGTGTTCTGACCACACAAGTGGTCAGAACACTTGTGTCACACCTGATGGATCAATATGGAGAAAAGTGAGTATTTCTTCTAAAACTAGATCAATTAGGTTGTTTTTGTGACATTTTGCTCTTGGTGAGAACATTAACGGCATTGTGCAGTGCTCACCTAAGTAAAATTTCTCCAGTAAGAAGTCTTAAAGTATGTGTTGGGCTAATAAAAAACGGGATTTTTTGGAAATTGTTTGTGTTTTAAGGTTTCTGCTCTATGTTTTCATCTTACAATAACTAATTAAAATAAAATATTTTACTTGCCTGTCTTACTGAATGTAATTTTTTTTGTTTCCAGCCCATCTTCAGACACTAAAGCAATTCTGGCATCTTCGATTGTGGACCAGTTTCCATGTTTAAGAGACAGCCATGGCACAGGATATGTAAGTTTTCACACTTCAGAGAACTAGCACACAAGTACTTCAACAACTTGCACAATGGTTAGCATTAAATATCATTGTAACTATGGTGTTTGATCTTTGAGTTGTAGGTTTAATAAAAATTTGGACATTAAAACAGAAAGGCTAACATTTAACTTTTATATTTCTTTTGTTAAAATGTGCAGGACGCCTGGTTTACCCCCGGAAGACAACACAGGCCAGCAACTGGCTTTCTGGAGGAGCGTCTCCGTAATGTAAGGAAAAGGCATCAACCAAGGAAGAAGATGCTTTCAGCCCCAGAAGCTCCACCAAAAAGATTAAGTTTGCCTGGTACTAGCACATGGACTTTTTCCAAGCCCCTATTGTTTTGAGCAGCAATCTTATCTTATCATTGCTGTGAATTACCTCACATTTTTTTTTTTTTAATTTCTGTAATACTTTTTTCCCCACAGAACCAACCATCAGTGCTGAGCGTGCCATCCAGATGACAGAATGGCTGAAAAATAACTTTTGGCCCACAGACCAGGTTGTCCAATACATGCGGGAAACTGCAGTATATCGCGCAGGATGGATCCGCTCAAGTGGGACAATCCCAATGCAGCAGATTTTTGCAGAGTTCCCACGTTTGTTGGACACACCAGGAATGGTGAGGTTATACCTCATATTGAGATCAGTTAAATGTTAAACAATAAACTGCAATATCATGTGTAAATGTACAATTACAATCAAACTCAAAATGTCAAACTACCCAGAACATAAATTTGTAGCACCCATGAAAGGTTGAATGTAATAGTTCATTTCACTTTTACATTTGATTTGTATTTTTGTCTTTTCTGATTGTTAGATTTTGCAGGACTTTGCCGTTTTATATCCACAGTCTTGTGGAAAACTGACAGAGAACTGGAACACCTTGTTCTCATCAAAGGTCATTCGCATGGGAAGAAGGAGGAGAGCGGTCTTCTGTCTGAGATTGAGTTGCTTCCACAAGGTATTGAAGCTCAAAAGGAACATTTTCTGAACTAATTTTTCTCCTGTGGCTCTTTTTTGATTGTGTAGCATTTTAATCTGAGTTTTTCGTTGACAGACAAACAAGGTGACGTGGCACTCCAGCTGCTGCCAAAACTCCTCCCTGCTGTTCCCTACAGAGTTGGGCGAAAGGTGGTCAGACCCAGCAACCTTGAAGTCCAGCAAGCCTTCATTGATGTCCAGCCAGTAAGTCTATCTTCATCTCAGAACGAGTTCTTTGCTGTTTAAATGTAGTTGAAACCAGAAGTTTAAAAGAAATATGCTTTTTTTTCCCTCACTGTTCTCCCTGTCATTAATCTTGAATTTACCATGTCCTAATTGACGTGAAATGAGAATTTTAATGTCATATAACACAAGACAGCGTTGACCAAAAATATGTCTTTTTATATAGTATATATAAACTTCAAACGCAAGGGTCTTTTGATAATGTATCAAACAAAAATCATATAAGAATTAGTCAAAAATTATTAGTTCCTCCTTACCTTTTAAATGACTAATGGCTTCCTTTCTGCTTTTTCCACACACCAGATTGGGACAAATATGGTGGAATATCTTGGAAGTACGGCAACAGAGCATCCACGTGTTCTCATGCTTGGGGACAGGTATTGTTGTTCCCAAGCATTTGTCGTCATAAATGGAACTGCTTTGGAATATCCATCTCTTTTGGGGGCTGTTGACGGCTGTTTCAAATCGTTCTTCGTTTTTGATATGAGTTATCCGAAGTCGTGTGTCCAAATTTGGGATTTTCTCCAAACTGTGATATATGAAATCCCAGGAAACGAGTCACCCCCGATAAAATTAATGAGGGCCCAGTTGGAGGCCATGGAAGAATAAAAGCAATTCTTCAATAACCCTTAAATAAGTTTTAAATGTTCTGATTGAAAACCTGCTGGATGTTTTGTTACTATGTTGCTATTTTTTTTCACATTTCCTTCAAACTCTTTTGATGAAAATATTTCTTTGTGTACACCAACAAAGTTAAAAAAGGTTGCAGATTTAATCAATTGTTTATATGTAACTTTTACATGTCTGTATTAAAAATTTCATGTATGTTGGAATGTATAACATTTGCAAATAAAAGTTCTTTTGAGCTAATCTGAATGTTTTTAGTTAAATTTTTATAGTGAATTTTAAAATAGAAAAGGAAAAAAAAATTTAAAATAAAAATATGGTGGTAAAATGACCCTTTTAATGGGTAATAAATTTCAACCCAATATTGAGTCATTTTAACTTTGAGCAGTGGTCAATTTAACCCAAGCTTTAGGTTGCAGCTATGACCCAATGTGCTGGGTCAAACCCTCAACCCAACCCAGTTGAGTTAAAACAACCCAGCGTTGGGTCGGTCCATATATGACCCAGCGCTGGGTTACGTATTGGGTTATTTTTAACCCAGCAGTTTTTACTGTGTATATATATATATATATATATATATATATATATATATATATATATATATATAGATAGATATACATATATATATATATATAGATATACATATATCTATATATATATATATAGTGTTCGTGGAGGTGATCTCTGTGCAGCGCACACTCTCGTTTGTCCACAGCGGGCTGCTCAACACTCCAACGCCGCTCACTCCTCGGCGTGCCACGCCCCCTTGCGTTCAGGTCCAATTCAAAGAAAACACAGTAGAGCGCCAGCATCCCCGCACCAGAACTCCGTCGGAAGACGTCCTCACTGCCAGTACTCTGCAGGATCGGTTCAATCGGAATGGAACTTTTACTTACAGCGCGCCTGATCCTCTGTACTAGGCCGTTTTCCAACTTCCGATGTTATATGCCGGATCAGCGGGTTCCGTCTGCCCCTCACAGCGTGTTTGTTTCCGTGGCTGCAGAACCAGTCCTCCTCCTCTTCCCAGCCAGGCTCCTTTTATTTGGGCTCTACTCAACCTCTGCCGACACCTGTCCGGGTGGCCAATTAGCGCGCCCCGCCTCGCGAGACAACCACCTTCAGTCCATGGTGCTTGAATTGTCAAAGGGAAAAGAAAAAAGAAAAGCAAAAAACCCAAACAAAATCTAAGCAAACAAAAATGAAAGAATAATTAACAATTAAAAAAATCATCTTTCCCTATTCAACATATTTATATATGTCTTTGTGTAGACATATTTAAATTTTGTGAATGCCATTTTTACACTTTCTGTCACTCAAGGTGGAGAAAATGTGAAAAATTGAACACTAAGTGATCATTTCTTCAACCATGAATCCAGAAATACATGTGTTTTGTAACCCACATATATATGTGTGATACTATTGTTAGTAGTAGTTTGCATTTTATTTCTGTAGGATTTTGTTTTGTTATTTAATGCAACCAGCAAATCAGTTTCTTGTGATACCAGAAAACGCCAGCAGGTGGCTTGTGAGTTATATTCTGGTTTAGACAGCAGAAAAATTAGAAGAAGAAAAATTGTAGCTAGCTGTAGCACGTTGTGCTGAATTATTGCACGCTAAATAAATTCTGATAAATTCCGGTAACGGTTAACAGAAAAGAAGATTTGTGACCTGATCCCTGGTAGTAAAAAAACATTTTTACTGTGATTTTCTCTCGTGAGTGTTGTAATCTATTTTTGCAACCGAAGTTAAGATAATGCTAACTGGCGTCACAGGCATTACTGTTCATATGTTCCGACCAGGAAGAAAAGAGAAACATGAAAAAAACAATCGGAGAAACGTGAGATTAAAATGATTTTCACTGTATCGCATTTTTGTTATGTACAAACTTATAATGGGTCGCATAGAGTGCGATGTTTGTTTTGCAAACTTGCCATTAGTTGAATGTTATTTTTGCGATAAATGGAATTTATTGCTTCGTGCATACTTTTGGATTTTAATAGTTAATTGAGATCTGAATGTGGCAGTATGCCCTGGAGCTTTTGAACGCACCACACAAGTGCTGGCATTTAATTGGTGGTGGCGCTGTTTGTATATAAGGGGCCCTCCCTCACCTGGTCAACATGTGTTTCCGGTTTAGACCTCTGTTGCTGTGCAGCGCCAGTCTGACACTAAGGTGTGCTTGACTGATACATGCTGATCGCTCCTCCTTCTGGTAAGAGGCCTCTCCTATACTTGTTGTTGTTAGCCTAGCCTTCGCTTAGCTTCAATTGTACACCTAGGTGGCCTGTGTAAACTGCCTGATCCTCCTCCCAGCCAGAGGCACTACACATAGAGCTTGTGGTAAGTGAAAAGCTCATTACCTGCATGCTTTTAGATTTGATGTTTAACACTTATGTTTGCTATAGACGCTGCTGTTTGTCCTTGGCCGGCTGTTTGCCTGTTGCCCTGTGGTTCCTGGTTGATGGTCCGCTGTTATTTTGGTTGTCCGTCGGCAGTCCATTTGTCGCTCTGATTGCTGGCTCTCTGCCAGCCGTCGTGGTCAGCGTGAACCTGACTCCTGCCCCTTGTCCAGCTTGGCTGGTTCGGACTGGCGACCAGCTTGGACGGACTCTGCTGCCGCTCTTGAGTGGCGTCTGTGGCGTGGCATCCCAGGACGGATTCTTAATTGACAATTGCTGCTGATTGTTGACTGAAGGACAATTATGAAATGACTCATGTAATTTGAATGTCTTTTATCTTGACAGGAAAGGCCAGTTCGTGGTGTTGGTGGTGGACTTTCCGGGTGGTGGTGCTCTTTTGATTTGTTGCACAATTTTCTTTAGTTTTGTTGTTTTGTTTGCTGTGTTTCTTTTATTTAGGTCACTACCCTGAACTGCACTGCCACCCTTGACTTGAGCCATCACTGTTATTTATTTAATGTGAGTGGTTTTAACTTAATGTATTTTATTGATTAGCATGAACTGATGCAATAAATAAAATTATTGAAATTAGTGAGATTGTCTCAAGCCTCATATGTAGCGGCCTGTGTGCCTTGAAAACTTTTTGGGGATAAATTATTACAATTTTGCCTTAAAAATAGTTCCATTGAACCACACCGGTCCACCACATATATATATGCAGGTTAGTTTTTTTTTTTTAGAACCACATTCAAGTTGGAAGGTTGTCCAGCTGCACAGCATCGCAGGCCTGGATTGGATTGCTGAGCTCCAGGTTTCAACCCAAGACCTGGGACTGCTGGATCCGCTGCCTACTTTGCACTGGATAAGATTTTGGATCCAAAGAAACACATGGCCATTTAACAAAGACTTGACTGACTGACCTAAATTGCAATTACTGAACTAAAAAGCTTCTAAAAGAAGGAACTGAACAATAAGGAATCTGAACTAAAAGAAACTACACTACCTGTTATAACAAGGGTGGACACTTTATGTTGAAACAAAAATTGTACTATAATATTCTCTTTAATTTTGTATTAAACAGTCTGTTCATTATTCTTGATATGGTTGTTTGTGCTCATTATCCTCCTTTTTGAACTTAAAAAGATAGACTAACTGTAACTTCAACATTGAAATCTAAGTTTTCTCAACTTATCTATTCGTAAGTTAAACTAGTTGGTTACAGTTTCAATTCATAACAGACACAATGGGAGCCTGCCTAATACGCCAACATGAGATGCAGTTTCTCTTACTAATATCTGTGTGTGATACCAGACATCATCATAAAGGGATGATTAGACGACTAAGATATACACAGGATTATTGTTTCAAAATAACACTAAAAAAAGGAATTATAAAAAAGAAAAATCAAAATAAACCAAAAATAACAACAAAAAGCAGACAATCTGAATTTTTTTTCTTCTTTTGTCTCATAGTTGAGGAATATCTATGATGACAATTACAGGCCTCTCATCTTTTTAAGTGGGAGAACTTGCACAATTGGTGGCTGACTACTATAAACTACGCTATGAGGTTTTTAGCGTAAACCGGTAGGCTAATAATAAGCTGTGCAGGCTCAGAAATTAAAATGCATCCCCCCTACATGAATAGACCAGACAGTTAAACGTGATATAAAATGTTCTGCACAATGGGCCTCTGTTATCAGTGTGTTTTCTCATCGATTTTCTCATCGTTCGGTCCTCCAGCGTCCTCGGCGACGGGTCCTCCAGGGTCTTCGGCGACTGATTCTCCCTCCAGGGTCTCTACAAATTAGATATATAGATATATAGATATATAAATATCTATGTCTAGACATAGATATCCACATCGATAGATTGACGTGGATAACTATGTCTTGATAGATATTCACGTCTATCGATCACATATCTCTTGACAGACAGATGACAGAAAGACGTGCATATCGATCTCTAGATATCTATCTATAGCTACATCTAATTTGTATTTGATGGGTATTGTCAACGTTCCCTGCAAAGGAAAATCATTCGTGACGCAATGACTGCTGAGGGCTTACATTCAAAGGCTCTGGTTCAGTCGATCAATGACGTCAATCTGTGACGTATGATGCGGGCTTCAAGTGTGCTATGGCAAGCCGTTTTCACATAAATTGCGTTCCCTCTGATTAACCGTAATTACTTTCTAGATTTCGAAAAATGCATTTGACTTGACAAAACTACATTTTGACTCCGGAATGATAATTTAAGATATCTGCATTTACATTCTGACTAGTAAGAATAATAATTCAGGATATCTTCAATTACATTTTGACTGGTCAAAATTCCTTGCAAGATATCTCAAATGACGTCACTTGTTCTGTAATTTGACGAGACACGTAACCGGAATTACGATTTAAGATTTCTTGAACGTAATTATCACTGTCAAAATTACAATTTTAGATATCTGAATTCTGAATGAGGTGAAAGCCCCTTTGTGCTGTCCGAATAGTTGCCTGCATAATTTTATATTTTCAGTAAATGCCACAAATAAATCTCACGTCATTTGGACTGGTTAGAATGTAATTATCTCAAATAGGTATTTTGTCCAGTCAAATTTTAATTAGAGATATCTTAAATTGCTAAAACGTCTGGTCATAAAACAATTTGAGATATCTGGAATGTAAGAGCAGTGAAACAGACTTTATATCAAAAAGGCTTGCCATACGCAGAAGGGCGACAGGTCTTTGACGTCAATCTGTGACGTATGATTAAGGAACGATCATCTGTGAAGCACAATGCATATCTGTGACCATCTTTGGACGTTGGATCTATAGGTCCTGCTAAATCTGTGTGGACCATTGCTAGTGGTTCTTTAGCTCTTGCATCTGGCTCCTTGTTAGTTTGAACACATTTTCCTTTCGTGCAGACTTCACGATATGGCAATGGTTCACCTCTCCCTTTAATTTCCATGCCATGCACAACATTTTCTAGCTTCAGTACATCTCTGTAATTGCAATGTCCAAGAATCTCACGCCAACCTTGTAAGTCATAACATTTTTTACACTGAGCTCCACATCCATTGTCCGTCGTTTGGAAGTAATACAATGTGTTACCTACGTGAATGGGGAACTTGGTATCGTCTCTGAGAAGAACGTTCTTTTCTTCTTTGAAGATCACCGTTGCTCCGCTGGATGTTGCAGCTTTCACTGAGAAGATGTCTTGCGGATATGAAGGGATGTACAATTTGTCCTCAGCACTGTTTTAAGACGTCGACCTAACGCGTCTCCTCGTTTCTTGGCAACACCAAAACACCTGGATCCATCAGCCAATTCCACGCAGTGCGTCTCGGCCTGGAAACTTTCATCAAGCTTCCGAAACTTCCCGATGTCGGTGATTATATGCGACGTCGCACCAGCGTCCACCATCAGACCTCTCCTCTTGATGTCGTCCACTCGCATGTCAGCGTCGCTCACCCGGAAAGCAAACTCTCTGTCGCCGCCCGCATTTGAATACTTAGTTGGTTCCTTTTTAGTCTTGAAGTTGAAATATTTTCAAAGTGACTCATCTCAGTTAAAATAAGTCATTAATAACTTATATATAAGTATGTATCACTTCCACCTCTTCTTCTTTTGGCAGTTAAGAGTTCGTCGCACTGCTGGTGTGAAGTCAGCTTTAATGAAACTCTTTAAAGTCGTTCTTATTACAGCTTCAGTTTCCCTGACACCAACACCACCGTCGAACTAAAACACAACGTAAACTTAGTGAGATGGTGTCAAGAATACAATATCGATATAAAAATAACATAAAACATATAAACATACCTCGCTGGCTAACCCTTCCTTTTGAGGTAGAAATGAGGTCATTCAGTAAATTCTTACACTTAAATCATGCTTCTTCATTTGCTTGCCAACGCGATGCTGTTATATCGCAAGCGTCTCTGGTAACCTGGTAACCAGACGCTTCTACATCTACTTCCTACCTTAAACCTTCAAAATAAGAGTCTTAACAAACAGTATAAATAATGCAAAATAAAACCTATAAATTAAAACTTTGGCAGTAAAAGTATGTATTTTATGTATTGTAACTATATATTATATGAACTAGCAATGTAGGTAGCTAATTTACATTTAAATACTATAAAAATACTATAATGAAGACTTAGAAATCGATTTTGTTTTTATATTTCTATATCATATATCACCGACACGGCGCTGGAATTGAAAAATTCAGGGCTTCAAGGAAAAGAATAACGAAGATGCCCGCAAAGAAAATCACAGACATCTCAATGAGATCGCAAAGCACTGGGCCTCGTCTACTGACAACGCAGTGGACGTCGCGCGTCGTCTTTTGTTTTCTAAGATTTAGAAACATCGGCCGAATTAATAAATAAGGCTGTCTCAAATGGCAATATTAATAATCTCGTTATTTGGTTGGAGGTCAGTTGTTCTGGATTCAGTTTAAGAGAGTCGGTGCTTCATTCTGACCTTTTCCTGAACGCCAGAGGTTCAGTTTCCTTCTCCTCATTTTTTCTGAATCTTCCCTTTAAATGTTAGGGGTTGGAGAGATGGTATTAAAAGAAAGGCAATATTTAGTTTTTGTAAAAATGCTAAAGCGAACTGCATAGTTTTTACAAGAAACTCACTGATGAGGCTGATGAGAGCTTCTGGTCCAATCAATGGAGAGGAAAAGTTATTGAGCGCAGAGGGCCTACATTCAAAGACTCTGTTCAGGCGGTCGATGACGTCAATGGGTGACGTAAATGACGTCACCCACTGACGTCATTAACATTCAAGGATCCTTGAATGAGTATCCCATTTAAGGATGACGTCACCAGTGACCAGCTGAGCGAATCAGAAGCAGGTGACCACCCACTGCCCATTAACTACAGTGATTGAATACTTAGTTGCTTTTTTTTCTTTTTAATTATTAAACACTTTGAACAATTTTACAAGATCACGTGTCATGCACTTAAGTAATAAAATCTTACAGGCTAAAGACACACACATCATTTTAAGACAATAACATCATAAAAAAAATGTTCAATAAAAATAAATGAATAAAATGTGGAATACTTTCCATTTTGGTAAAAGGAGAATTAAGATTCTCCACACATAAGGTCACATATAAAATACATACTTATATAATGTATAAGTTATTAATGACTTATTTTAACTGAGATGAGTCGCTTTGAAAAATTCAACTTCAAGACTAAAAAGGAACCAACTAAGTATTCAAATGCTATAGTTAATGAGCAGTGGGCGGTCGCCTGCTCCTGATTGGCTCAGCTGTTCACTGGTCACGTTTTTCTTGAATGGAAAACTCCAACCCAGAATTAACGTCACCGATTGGCGTCATTGACCGCCTGAACAGAGTCTTTGAATGTAGACCCTCTGCGCTCATTTGGTCACTAACCATTTGCTTTGTCTTTCAGGTAAAAACTTAAAAAAACACTAAAAACCTTAAAGATAGGATAGGTTATCCTTTCTTAAATGATCAAGCATCGATATGCAGGATCAACAGATCATGTTTAGTCCGGGTCTTTATTTACAGTCATGTATGTAAAGGAGGATGATATTTGCTCCCTTGACTCTGGTTCTGATCCGCTGCTCCCTAAACAACCGGACACTTTTATACTTTTCTTCTTCCTCCAGCATCTAAACGTTGCTTTCTACTGCATTTTTCAACCTTTTTGAGCCTAGGCACATTGTTTTCATTGAAAGAATCAAGAGGCACACCACCAACCAAAAATCTAAACAAATGAAAATAATAAATAATAATATATGGTCGTTCTTATCAAAGAATTTTATATATATTTTATATTAGATATTTCAAATTGCACTTAACATGTCTACTTCAAAAGTGCGCCTGAATTAAATTTAAGACCACATTGTTCACACGACTAATCTGACCACAATCAATCTCTCAGCCAGAATATAGAAAATAATTCCTTTTCTGAGAGAAGCAATAATATTTGGAAAAGAAAAAGCTCACGGTATTTGCCTTCCGTTGATATCCACTCACTGTAAAAAATATCCGTAGATTTTACATTTAAAGAAGTAAAAAACGAAAATTTAATACCGTAAATTGGAAATCAGTTTAATGCTGTTTATTAACAGGTAATTACCGTAAATAAGATAATTAAGAAAATATGTAAGTTTTACAGTTTTTTCAAAATTTACATTGCACTGCTGTAAAATAAAATCTGGTAATACTTTTAACAGTAAAATTCCGTAATTTTTCTAGTAGTACATACTGTAGTTTTTGTAATTTTCTTTTGTAAATAATACAGTTAGTACCTGTTAAAAATGCATACTGTTGTGACAATTACAGAAACATACTGTAATTTTTCTAGCAATGTATACCGTAGTTTTTGCATTCAATAATTATAAAGTATATAGTTCAAAACTGTTCAATATGCATACTGCTGTGGAAATTACAAAAATATACTAATTTTTCTAGCAGTGTATTTTGTAATTTTACATTTAAGTAATCTAAAGTATACAGTTCTAAACTGTCAATATGCATACTGTTGTGGAAATTAAAAAAATGTAGTAGTGCTGTAATCTTTGCATCTAATTCTCCTGATTAATACAGTTGGTAACTGGTAAATGGGCTTGCTTTTGTGGCAATTACAGAAATACGCTGCAAAGATTTGAAGAGTCAATGCTGTAATTTTGGGGTTTTATTCTCATAAATTTACATATGCTCATGGGGATAACAGAAATATGCTGCACATTTCTTGCATACCTTCTCTTAAGAAATTATGCCTTTAACTGTAAAGAGTATTGGTTATGGGGAAAATATACAGACCCTTTCTAAAAATTGTAATAATCAAAAATCTATTTAATAATTCCATTCAAAAAGTTTAACTTTTCATGGAGTCAGTCTTAGTTCATGGGCCAACAGGGCCCCTGCACCTGGTCCGCGCGGACAGGCGCAGTGTTGCTCTGGCGGTACTTTGGAAGCGGTCGATTTGAACGGACCAATCAGCGCACTGCATTTGAGGACCGTCGCACTCGGTGATTGGCGTTTTTGTCCAACTTCCGCTCAGATTGTGCAGAGACTTCATCATCCAACCTTCTCCATCTGATCGGCTCTCGTTCTCAGGTAAGGAAATATTGCGGAAAATTTCAGAAAACAAATAGTTGAATTGCTTTCGGTTGGTTGAAAAGACATTTCAGGGGAAACGAAGAAAAAAAAAAACGTTGTTGAAAGTTAGCCTCTCTACAAAGCTATTGCTAACATCGGTTTTGTATCGCCATTGCTGTAAGCTATCCATCGAAGTAATATATTTAAGATGTATTCATGCAACCTGTGTGCAGAACCAGTTAAATCTGTTAAAGCCTTTGTTCTCCATTGCAAACTGCATCGCAAGGAACCGAGGCGTAAGTTCAAGTGTGTTGCGGCCGGTTGCGAGCAGGTGTGTTCTGGTTATGCAGCATTAAAATATCGTCATCATAATAGCATGCCAACAGTTGCTCTGGACACAAGTGTAACGAAATTAAAATGCACAGTTCCACTTTGTAAATGGCAGTGTGAAGGGATAAAAATTTTGGTTGTTCACTTGAAGGAGCATATAGTAGAGGGGCGTCAAGTAACTTGCCCTGTGAAAGAGTGCACCTCTGTGTTTCGTGTAAAATCTTCCTTTACCTCTCACATCTCCAGGAAACATAAAAATTATTTTGAAAATGTGATTTGTCAAACAAGTAATGAAGATACTCAGAGTGCTTCAAGTGCTACCAAAAAAAGATTCCAGTGTGCATTATCATCTTACATAATAGATGGGAATCGGTTTGTACCATTAAAGAATAGTGTTTTGGCAGTGTAAAGGCTTGCTTTTACACTTTTATTAATGGTTCAGAGATCAACCTTTTTTAGTTTTCTGTATTTCAACAGATATGATGGATACACAAAAGGACATTCGTGATGCCATTCGAGCAGTGCTTCCTGGTCTTTCTCAGGAGGTTTTGGCTGCTTTAGAGGATGTGTTGGAAAAACTGGGCACTACAACCGCAGATGATTTCCAGTATATCACCGAAGGAGACAAATTGCCTGTGCTGAAGCCCATACAGGCCAGAAGACTGGTTGCTGCATGGGCCCAAAATAGTATTTTGAGATAAAGTCTTGTGTAACTTTTGCACATTGTAAAAGATGAAAAATTGTAACAGTAAAAAGTACATGTACTTGTATATATTTATGTATAACTTAATTTGATATGACCAGTTGATAAGATATTTCAAGATAATAGCAGTTTTGACACTTAAGCATATTGTGTATATCTTTTTTGATAAACATTCTTTTTTTCTTTACCAAAAAAGTTTAGACTTAATGTTTTTCAATTTTATGCGTTGTACCTTTCCAGACTCAATGGCTTCAACTTCAGGCAGGGCATCCTCCTCTCCACAGTCCGTTCAATCCTCTCAACCTGCAGCCTCACTTTCACAACCATCATCTGCTGATACTTCATCGCCTTCCCTGAGCTGCTCCCCAGTTTTGCCAACCTGGGTTGACAGTTGTCAGATACCGTGGCAGAAGCTTCCAGAAGAGCTGATACAGACTTTGGAACGACAGAAAAGGCCAAGTGCACGACTTCGAAGACAAATGGTGAGGATTATTGTCTCTGAAATGATGCTGATTTGCAAGAATCCTACCAAACGCGACACTACTGAAATAGCAGAAAGGATGGTGAGCAGGTATCCAAAGTCACTTAAGGACGTCATTGATGGTGATGTTATTGGACTTGGTTATCATTCCCTGGTAAAACAACTCCAGGCAAGAATTGAAAATGTCAAAACGACAAGACACACCAAAGATAACTAAACGCAAGGCGGAATCAGATAATGACACTGATGAGATACCTGCTGAGCAGAAAGCCAGTGTTCAAGACACGTATGGCTGTGTCAACTGGGCGCCAAAGTTTTTGCCCCTTTCTGAGACAGTAGAGAGTCAACTTAAGAAAAAATAAGACATGAAAAAGATGTTCAAAGACAAAAAATATGCTGCAGAAGATGTGAAAGAACTTATCAAGTCCACCTATTACACGCAACGAAAGGACATCAATAAAGGTACAAGCGTCCTGACGCTATGCCAAGAAAGGCCTTTTTTGTTCCATGAAACTGGCATGGAAGAACACTTCCAGCAACTTACTGGCATCAGTCTGACGGAAGCCTTCTTCACCAATCTGGACAAAAAGGCGGAGCGCATCCTCAACTCTCTCTTCAAGTTAGCAAGTGAAAAAGGTCAATCCAGTGGTTGTACAGAGATGATTCTTCTTCTACTTGCTTTTTTTGGTGAGAAGGAAGAGCAAATGTTCCACTATGTTGAGAAGACCAGCCTTGCTGAAGAGGTTGAGATGGAGGATGTGCCAGCAACACCCTGCCTTATTGTGTGTGGTATGTATGAACCAAGTTGACAAAGTAGTTGAATGGTTCACACAGGGGCTTTTTGTGATATATATTTGTTCATTTTTTATTCAAAGGGTCCTTTTGCTTCTCTGCGAACTGCTTCATGTTGAGTATTGATCAGAAGATTATCAATGACCACATCACTGCCTTCTCCTGTGCCATCTGCCTGATGTTTGGCAGTTACTACTGTTTAATATACACTACCTAGTGGGACTGCGGTCAACACTGGAGTTCCTCCAGAGGTAATTCTTATACTTACACAGTGTCTATATTTACCAGCAAGATGAAGTTTTCACATTATAGATCAGAATGTTACTAGTTACTGAAATATAATAAATACAAAAGACAATTGAAAATGGAGGGTAAAAAACTGCTAAATCTAAATATTCATGATAGAAATAATGCCAGTAGAAAACTACGAAAATGTTTTATCATTTCTTTGCAGTGTTTAAATTGTATATTTTTTATGGCCATGGACACAGAAGAGTTCTTCAGTCTGTTTGTGAAGCAGAATAGGCACAAAAGCCTGTCACTAAATATCCCTCTGGCTCTGCCACTGAATCCAGCCACCACAAAGCTGGATCTCGTGATATCTTTCTCTTAAGTCATTTATAAACATAACATTAAATGCAATAAAATTTCTTTTCTTCAAGGTGTTTATTTTCAATTAATCCGGAGAGAGGAACAAAAGTTGAGCATAGCAAGAGGAGGAAGATCTTTGCGGTCAACCCAAGAGTCCTCACACTCATCGCTGACCTTGCAGACCATGAGTGGACTTAGACCATACTTTGAGTCATGTGATATGATGTGTAATGTTGTTATGTTGCTGTATGTTGAAAACTGCATTTTATTGGTATTTAAGGTTTACACTGTAAGATTTCAAAATTTTCATCTTCATGTTAAATGTTGCAAATTTATGTTAGACATTTTTTTCTATATGTAAATAGCAGATGACAATGAAACCGATTTTATGCTGCACCACTGTCAAGGCTTAATGAATGTGGTGATTTACAAGTTACAAGTCAAAAAACCTGACAAACGTGAACAGTTCTATACCTATTTCAGAAAGGTTACAGTGGTGGCCAGCACATTTGTTAGAAAGTTCTTATTTCTGTGTATGTGCCAATTTCATATGGATTATTCATTTGAAACACTGCACCAGGATTGAAGTGATAATGTTGTGTCATATCTCTTCAAAACTTTTGCACTAATGTAAGTGCTTGCTGCTTTTTGGAAGATGTGTTACAAGTTCTTTGTAATCAGTGTGCACAGAGTTGTGAGAAGTTTGTACAGCCCAAAAAGTTTTTATTAAATGGAAAAAATACAATAAAGTTTGGTTTTTGGATATTTTATGTAAAATTTGCTTATACTTTCCATGTTTACCATTAGACTACACTGGTAAACATTATTTAGCTGATATAATCGATTTGATAATTTTACAAAGTAAATTTGCACTTCTCAATTTAACAATTTGCATTGTAAAAAAAAAAAAAAGTTTCATTTTTACGGTAAAATACTGGCAGCTGTGGTTGCCAGAATTTAACCGTAAAAATTACAGTCAGCTAATTTTTACAATTGCTGATTCTACAGTAAAAAATGGTGTTTTATTTAACCTTTACTGTAAAAATGACTGTTTTTACCATTAAAATTGATCAAGTTTTATCCTAAAATTTACATTAAATCAATATTACAAATACACTGAATTCCTGTATAATTACAGGGTTTTGTCTGTAATTTAAAAAAAGTATACTTTTTAAATTACAGACAAAACCCTGTAATTATACAGGACAGTTTTTTACAGTGTACTAAGTTCTTCATCTGGGTCTGAATTTAGCTTTTTTCTTTTCAAAACTTTTCCATCACTGTCATCACAGTCTTGCTTGGTACAATGCTCTCACCGCTTCCTGTCACATTCATGCATCACTAATTCTCTTGTTTTAACGTACAGTGCTGTGTACCTACTGCCATCCTGTCATCAGGAAATTACATGATGACGCCGCTAGTCACTATACAACACAGACTCTCGGAAATGGCATATTATTTGCAGTCAATTTGTTTTCAAAAAATCGTTTTAGACCAATTTAGTGAAATTGAATAATTTCCATGGGACACTAGTTGAAAACACTGTTCTACTGCAACGTGTAGATATGTATAAATATATATATTGAAAACATCATAGTAATTTTTTTATCCAGTCTTTGAATGTAGGTTATCTCCGATAATTTAGTCACTTTCTGTTTTCTTTCTCGTATCTATATTTGTATTTGCAATAAACTAAATATTCTACTATCGTATCTAATGCAGTTTATTAAATTGACCACTGCAGGAATTATGAACAGTCTTAAAATAAGCCGAAATAAATTTGACAACAATGTCAATGTCACAGTCAATCTAAGAAGAAAACGAACTCTGCCCAGATTTGAAAATATTTTACTTGGAATATAGAACCATAATCCTTTTAATTAAAAAAAAGACCGAAGCCATTTTATTTTTAAAGTGTCGTTCGTTCAATCAAATTGAAAAGCTTGCAGTCGTCCATCTTCAAACTGATTACATTACATTTTCTTATTAAGTGAGATTTATGTTTCCATAGAAAAATAATAATCCTGTTGTTGTAATTAATTGCAGAAATGTGTATTCCTAATGTATGTGCAGTGTAGGTAAATCTGGAAATACTTTCCATTTTGGTGAAAAATATTCTACGCAGAATAAATAAATCTCTGCTATTACAGGCCCAACCTTTCCTAGGGGGCAGTAGAGAGCAACGTGTGGACGCTGCAGCGAGCAGAACCGATACGAGTTTGTTTCCAGTGTCCAGTGATCAAATGTCATCCTCCTTTACATACATGACTGTAAATAAAGACCCGGACTAAACATGATCTGTTGATCCTGCATATCGATGCTTGATCATTTAAGAAAGGATAACCTATCCTATCTTTAAGGTTTTTAGTGTGTTTTTTAGGTTTTTACCTGAAAGACAAAGCAAATGGTTAGTGACCAAATGAGCGCAGAGGGTCTACATTGAAAGACTCTGTTCAGGCGGTCAATGACGCCAATCGGTGACGTTAATTCTGGGTTGGAGTTTTCCATTCAAGGAAAACGTGACCAGTGAAGAGCTGAGCCAATCAGGAGCAGGCGACCGCCCACTGCTCATTAACTATGGCATTTGAATACTTAGTTGGTTCCTTTTTAGTCTTGAAGTTGAATTATTTTCAAAGTGACTCATCTTAGTTATTATAAGTCCTTCACAGCGTCTTCATCACATAAATATGTATTTTATATGTGACCGTATGTGTGGAGAACCTTAAATTCTCCTTTTACCAAAATGGAAAGTATTCCACATTTATTCATTTATTTTTATTGAACATTTTTTTATGATGTTATTGTCTTAAAATGATGTGTGTGTCTTTAGCCTGTAAGATTTTATTACTTAAGTGCATGACACGTGATCTTGTAAAATGGTTCAAAGTGTTTAATAATTAAAAAGAAAAAATGGTGGTGTTGGTGGTGGACTTTCCGGGTGGTGGTGCTCTTTTGATTTGTTGCACAATTTTCTTTAGTTTTGTTGTTTTGTTTGCTGTGTTTCTTTTATTTAGGTCACTACCCTGAACTGCACTGCCACCCTTGACTTGAGCCGTCACTGTTATTTATTTAATGTGAGTGGTTTTAACTTAATGTATTTTATTGATTAGCATGAACTGATGTAATAAATAAAATTATTGAAATTAGTGAGATTGTCTCAAGCCTCATATGTAGCGGCCTGTGTGCCTTGAAGATAACTTTTTGGGGATAAATTATTACAATTTTGTCTTAAAAATAGTTCTATTGAACCACACCGGTCCCACCACACATATATATATGCAGGTTAGTTTTTTTTTTTAGAACCACATTCAAGTTGGAAGAATTAGTCGTGTGAACAATGTGGTCTTAAATATAAATTGTTGTGCCACTGATCAGGCGCACTTTTGAAGTAGACATGTTAAATTCCTATAAAAAAGGTTTTTCCACAAATTCAGCATCATGCTGAATTTGTGGAAAAACCTCTCTCTTTGTGAGTTTGTTAAAACAATGATCGTTTTGTACTGTTTGGACTGTTTCTGAGAGAGGGAAGCTGGTTGAATTGCCACTGTTTCAAGAGCAAGATAAAAATAAAGTGTAATATTTGAAATGAAAGTGTATTAGGTGTAATTATTTTTAGGAAACTGTTAAACTTGGCATTATTAGTGGGGGAGTTAACAATAGTTGAAAATGTTAGTTTACTTAAATTGCAATTTTAAGTACAATTGCTGCCTTAAAATCTTAAGTTAAATTAACTCAAAAAAGGAATTGGTATGAATGTAGTTAGTCAGTTTAACTTTGAAATGAGAGTTGAAAGTATATAATTGTTTATTACTTTAACAAAATTTCACTTGACAA